TTTAATCAATGCTGCTGGAATTTTTTCTGACTCAGCAATTCCCAATCGTTTCTTCAGTTTTCGACAATCAGTGGCCTCATGCCCTGAATATCTGCAATATTTATACACCACTCCGAAAGCGTTGACGCTGCGTCGTTCTGACGCAACTGGTAATGACCTACGTGGTGCCTGTGAACTGCGACAATCTTTTGCAAGGTGACCTGCTTGTCCACAGTTGAAGCAGGTTCCGATAGACTTCCGATAGACTGTTTACCCATAGAATTCCTATTTCCTCCAGTTGAGTGTCTTTGCGTATTTAAAATTCCTCCTATTTTTCCCTTATGAGGGCCAGAAATGGTTTTCTCTAATTCTGTAGCCCCTGCACATGCATCATGAAGAGTTTTGAAGTTATTAGCACGCACTAGAATCTGCAATTGTCCTCGTAACCCTTGTTCAAACATTAGTTTAGCAAGAGTCATCATGAGATTTTTAGAGGCTAATTTTTCTTGTTCAGTGAATTCACTGTGCAGACTGAATAGCCCATTCAAGAAGTCAACAGTGACCTCCTCTGTGCGTGCTACGTATTTAGCGACATCTTCATTTTCTCTTTGCTGTAATTTGCTGAATTCGGCCTGAAGTCCCACGAGACTCTTGGTTTTCCCGAAGAGTGATTCTAGTTCAGCCTTCAATTGTTCAAATGATGAAATAGTTCTATATTTCATCTGTTTCATGGCATAAGCTTCTAATTTACTCCCTAGAATTCCTTCTAGGAGAAGGAACTAATGCCGCAAATATCAGGCAATATGAGTTACAAGAAAGTGACTTAACGAATCGTCGGATTACTAATTGTCTGTGTTTGACAACCTAACTAACTGACCCAGTGGCAACGAATTCACGAGCTTATATTTCATGGTGGATTCGATTACAACAAGTGTTCTGTCTTTGTTTTACACCTGGAGAGACATCGGGTGACGTCCCAGGTGTACGTAAAGGCCATAGCCGTTGATGGGGCGAAGTGCTGACACTGCACCCCAGTGATCCACATTATGACGAATATATGTGGACTTATTCCACAAATATTCGGGTTAGTTTATATTTCAATATCAACATTGTCTGATTTGGCATTACATGTTTTGAATATGTGCCACTTCGCGTGTCCTCATATTATCTAGATCAATGAGAAATTACCTAATACTATTTCTTAATTAATTGTATTTCTGGGGCATAACAATATTAATTCTCGGAGAAGACACGATAGATCCGGGAAAATTAAACTTGGGGCCAAATCCAATAATTTAAATAATTTAAGGGGGACCTGAAACAATAAGTGGTAGGGGGATTCTACATAATTACTCGGTGCAATTTAGGTAGAATGATTTGTTTGTATATTCCGAACTCTGGCACACAAATATTAATACAAAAAAAATCCAGGACTTTTGACTACTAACTAATTCACTCGAAGGTGGGGGGTAAGGCCAACTCATTTACGGCGACGCGAAACAATATAACAAAAAAGGGGGTGACTCTACCTTTGAAAAAAAAAGGGGGAAATGAGGGGGGCCCAACTGTAAAAGTAATAATTAATAGGTGACTTGAATTACAAAGAAAATGAATTTACTGGAGGCTCACCCGCGGGGGAGGGGGAGGGGGGAATTAACACGGGGCAGGGAAATTCGTTGGGGCAGGGAATAAAAATGGGGCACTCACGGGGAATAGCGCCCTCAACAATCCTCTCGGTTTTCTTTGTCGTTTCTCCTCCATCCTTCCTTCTCCTAGGTCTGTCCCTGGGTCCTGGGCACAATTCTTCAACACCGATATCGTTCTAAAATTCCTCTCCACACTAGTTCTCCTCATAACGGTCCTCACAATAGTTCTTTCACTCCTTTCACAATAATTCTGTCTCACAGTATTCTCCACAACAATTTCTTTCACACAATATTTCTCGAAATAGTTCCTCCAATAATTGCTTTTACACACTAATTCCTTTCCTCACGCTTTGTCTCTTCACAATTTTTCAGGGTCTTTTCACAGGGCCTCTTCGGGGTAACTCATTTACTTTATGGGGCAGTGACTCGTAGGGCAGCTGTGGCACGAATGATTTCTTCCAATCATTTTCCTTTATTAATCGGTGCAGTGACTCGTGGGGCAGTTGTGCCACTCATTCTCACCTCTGATTGCTCGAAAATTGGGGGGGGTCATCGGGTGTCTTTTTTCTGATCCAGGGGGGGGCTCGCCGAGGGATATCTCTTTCTTCCGGGGTCACGTGGGATCCTTTTCGTTGATGCGCGAGTGCTGCGGCGAGGGAAAAGGGGCACAGAGGCAGGGAATGTCAGGGGATGGGTTGCCCATCGGTGGCAATAAGAGTAATTTAAACCTAACTTAAACTACGAAAATAGAATATATCAATATATATATTGATAATATATCACAATAGACGGTATTTTAATTGCTGCTGAAAACGTCGAAGAAGGGTTCTCGAAGTTAGAAACGGTATTCAAGCTCCTCCAAACAAATCACTGAATTTAGATAAATGCCGTTTTTTCCAAAAGAAAATAGAATATCTTGGCCGAGAGATATCACGTGATGGAGTGAGACCCGGTTCTCATAAAATTGATGCTATCATGAAGGCTGGTAACCCTCAAAATGTCAAACAAGTGAGACAATTCTTGGGACTTGCCAGTTATTTTCGAAAATTCGTTCATAACTTTGCTCTTCGAGTAACTCCATCAACCAATCTGTTAGGTAAAGACGCACCCTGGGTTTGCGGGGAAAAGGAGTCTAACGCGATGAAGGAAGTAAAGGAGGCACTGGTTAACCACCCATTCTGGCGATTTATGACCCTACTCTTGAAACCGAGGGGCACACTGATGCCAGTGCTCTAGGACTAGGTGAAATACCTATGCAAAAAAAACAAGGAAGAATAAACAGGTTGTTGCGTATTACAACGGTAAAACCACTATTGAAGAGGAGAAGTACCATTCGTATGATTTAGAAACTTTAGCAATAGTCATGGCTCTCAAAACGTTTCGGGTTTATCTTTTGAGCATCAAATTCACTGTAGTTACCGATTGTAGTGCAGTCCGTGCGACGGCAAACAAAAGGGACATATAACTTCGTGTCGCGCGTTGGTGGGTATACCTCCAAGATTTCAATTTTGACATTGTTTAGCGGCCTGGAGCTCGGACAGCTCATGTGAACTATTTGAGTCGTAATCCGATTAATTGCAATGCAATAGACATTACAGAAGTAGAGTGGATCAAGGTAGCCCAGATGCAGGATGCTGATATCGAAGTTATTCGTAAAATATTGGAATCTGGCATTCGGCAATCAGATACCAAGCAGTATTTTGACAAATATGTTCTTAACGGTGGAGTTGTATTTAGGAGAACTGAAAATGGTAACAAATGGCTAGTTCCCCGGATGTCGAGGTCTAATATTGTCAAGTTATGTCATGATGATCAGGGACACTTTGCTCTGGAAAAAACACTGGAGAAAGTACAAGAGAACTATTGGTTCAGGGTGATGCGGGCGTTTGTTACTAAATACGCCAATGCCTGTTTGAATTGCTTATATTATAATTCTGTATCGGGGCGAAAGCCTGGACTTCTGCATCGCATTGAAAAAGTAGCTATACCGTTCCATGCAATCCTGTGGGACCATGTTGTTCCTTTCCAACGAAGTGAGAAAATAAATAGCCAGATACTCACAAATATTGACGGATTCACCAAATTTTGCATTCTTAAGGTTGTTCGTGAGACATCTGCGAAACATGTAATCAAAACGCTAGATCAGTTGTTTGCAATATTTGGTGTGCCAACTCGCATAATCAGTGATAGAGGTTCGACCTTTACGTCACACTCCTACAAGCCTTTTTGTATAGAGTACGGTATTAAACACGTACTAAATGCAGTGGCAACACCCAGGGCAAATGGGCAGTGCGAGCGTATGAATCGCATTGTGCTGAATTTTTTAGCAACCATCTGTGCAGGGAAGCCTGAGAATCTCTGGGATACAAACTTAAAAAGGGTTCAAAGTGCAATCAATTGCACTAGCAACAGAACGACTCGGGTAAGTTCTGCACAGTTGCTTTTTGGTTTCAAACCACGCAGTCCTGCGGATGCGAGGCTATCGGTGCAGATCAAGGACACCCTGGATGAGGTAAACCTGAGGGAAATGAGGGTAGCAGCCAAGGAAGCTACCAATGCCGAGCAAGTCTAGCAAAAACGCAGGTTCGATGAACGGCGGTTCAAGGCACCCAAATATGATTTGGGGACCGTGGTCATGGTAACCTTTTCTCCACCTGCTACAGGGAAGAGTGGGAAATTAGTCGCTAAGGCTAAAGGGCCATTCAGGGTAACAGCAGTGTTACCGAATGACCAATACGAGGTACAGGACCTGAGGGACTTAAAAAAATCACCGAATCAACGCTCTGTTATAGCGGTGGACAGCATGCGACGGTGGGTCACATTTGACACCACCAAGCGTGACTGATAAGTTAAAAGCTCTTTTAAAGACACTTCCTCAAGTTGTCTGGTTTACTGATCAAGTTAGATTGATTGGTACGGGTTGCAATGTAGTTACACGGGTTGTAAGGTTTGGTCGTCCAACTAGATTCCATTTGCACGGGTTGCAAGAAACTTACAGGGGTTGTAAGAGAAACAATCATATCCAATATTAATGGATTGGTTGATGGCCAAGTCTGTAGACCATAGGTATGGGGAGTGATTTACTCATATTGTTGGATCTGCAGGCAGAGGCTGAATCATCGACCAAGTCGAAAGGAATTCGCGGATGAGAAGTAGTCAATCTCATACGACCGGATCCTTAGGCGGAAGGTCATGACTGACAAGATAGTAGTTTCAACGTTTGCAGGTGGCCAACTTAATGCTTGCTTGAAAAAGTGATCACATTGGAACGACTTGACTTCAGCAATGGGAATTGATCACTCCAGCGTTGAGTTGATTCGATGGATCACTCATCGTTAGAGATTGTTTATGTATTAATTTGGATATTGTCTACAGATGTTACAGGAACATGTCGAGGGCAATCATGCAGTCAGTATGGCCGAATGTGAGGGAAAATTCAAACGCGTTCGACTAGGATTGGATAATAAGCAGTTGAGGACAATGAGGGCCTTGTTTGACTCTACCCGACACCTCGGGGTTTTTCACCTGGAAACCATTTTAGACATTGGTTATGCAGACTCTAGCCTGAGTCATAAACAAAGAGGACTTGGGCCTAAGGTTCCCAAAACGGAAAACCCATCGGGCAGTTCGACTCTTAACCCGAATGAGATCACATCTCTTCATTAGATATCTTCTGACATATTTTACTAAGCCTTGTTATTAGAGTTTCTTTTAATTAACGTTTACTGTATTTTAATTGTTTAATCTCGGCAGTATTCTCACGACGAGAATAAATCTATTATATCACTATTAGAGAGTAGTTTTTATTCTCTACAAAAAGAGAGGCAGAAATTATAAGGAGAAACATAAATCGAAAAATGATATTCCTCAAACTCCCCCTCCCCCTGTTGTCACTGTTGATACGACCAGTGAGTCATATTATATTCAATAATTTGAATTACTACAAAAGAGTAGCAGCCAATAAATCATTCGTCATGGTTAGTCTATGATGTTAGGTCGTTGGGTGAGGTGAATTCAGAGTTATTGGTGAGTGTTCTTAGAACTGTTTGGAAATATATCTTTCTGTGTATCCATCGTCTATAAGTGTACGAACACGTGTTGTATTTAGAGCCGGCAACACCGTCACATCCTCGTCGTGGACCTGGAGAACGCTGAGAGTAATGTTTTAACATCCAATCGTCCAAGCCAATTGTTTCCCTCTAAAATGGGGCCCAGGTCCTTAATGAGGTGACGGAAACCCCTTCAATTAAATTATGACGAACGCCACTTCTTCAAAGAATAAAGTTAAATTTTTAATTCTTATAAAAAAAAAAAATCAAGTAGCTCCAAATTTTGCCGGGGCGCCGGTCAATAAAAATATTTTTTGAGAGGCACTGACTCTCTCTCAGCTCAACTCAAAATCTGTAATCTCAAAAACTCAAAATGGCTGGCAGCTCATTTATAAGAATAGACCATACTCATTACAAGGGGAAGGGGAAACGATACCCCCTCTTTGGATTTTCCTCTACCTCAACAAAGAAAACATGAGTTTTTCAATTAAACAACAAAGGTATTGTAATTTACACACAAAAAAATAGAAAATTGAACACAAAATAATACAGAATATAAATTTCGGATTTTTCACGTTCCCATCACGACAACACGAAATCAACACGACAAAAGAAAATTAAATTGATCGATTTTTCCGATAATCGATAATACAAATTATTGGTATTGGGATATTATTATGACAAACAAAATATTCACAACTACAGAATAATGACATTATTAATCGGAAATTTAAAATAGGTGATTCTCGGAGATGAATCTCCCGGGCTAGACCGAAACAACAGCATCGCGGCAATAATGTCGAAAATTTGTAGAAATCTTGACTATCTCGGGAGAATGTCCAGGTCGAATATTCTTCTTTAAGATTTCCTTGTCATCGGCTGCCTGAGTAGTGGGGAGTTTTTCTCTCCAGGTCGTTCCTCGAGCCAGGGTTACCTGAACCAAGTACCTCTAGCACCTGGAGACGTTGGATCACTTGGTTGGAGGCAGCTTTTGTGTTCGTCCGATTAGCATGGGCTCGGAGAGGGATGCTGTCGGCCGACCCTCCCTCTGATTCTCGTCATCGGGGTCATCTGGGCTCCACCAGGTCTTCCGAAAAGAAAGGCCTCACCGCCTTCCCAATCGATCTCGATGTCGTAGATTTTACCACGACGGAAGGTATTTTGGACATTCAAAACTTTATTAATGCCGGAAGGATACGTGAATTTTCCTTCCTGACACTTGCAATTGAGAGGAAACTCTCAGAGACCTTACTCAAATTTTAATTTACTTTCTTTAAAAAAAAAGACTTCTGACCAAAAAAGAATGAAATAAGAAGCAAAAACGTAAAACTCGATTGACAACCGAGGCCGTCACAAAATATACAGTATCCAGAAGGGTTAGGTGGCCCTAAACTACACATTTGCCAATTATTTTTAAAACGTTATAAAAAGACGGAAAAATTATTGAAAGTCGGTACATCGAGATATCGCTATCAAAGTCTCGTCACGTTTGCAGATAAATATTATAAAATACGCAGTCAATAGCAATATAGAACCGAAATGGACTGTCAGCTGCTGCCAGTGGTAAACTGCGTATCTTTCATTATTTTTCGGTAAATTTTACAGATCCGTTGAAATCAATCATTCAATCTGCCATCCATCTTTTTTACTATTTTTATGATGGTTTTTTTACAACCGTTGAAAGGATTTCCACAACACAATTGAAATCCATATTTCGAAATATTGAAGCTAACAAGCTAAAATTCAAATCAAAGATTGCTTTCGATACATAGTACATGTGGCTCTTAAGAGATAATCATATTTGCACTTAAACACATGAGTCAATTAAAACCAAGAAAAAAAATTTTACCTTAGAAGCATAAGAAAGAAATGTTCCCTCCTCAAGAAATGGGTGATTAAGGATGTCTTCTCTGGTAATTTGCTCTCCAACGTTTCCATTGTCACCTGTTATCATTGAGAAAAATTTTAAATCATGAAAAATTTTCAAGACTGATGAATAAGCATGGAATTACATTGAATTAATTTTCCACGAATTCAAACATCAATGAAAATACACAACCCAGGTTATGTAAATTGTGTACGTACATGCGCTAATTAACGATCGAATGATATCGGTACGTCCGTCATCAATCGCCGCTCGTATATCCGAACTAATATCTTGCATAGTTGATTCACTATTCTAATCATGGAATTACTGTTTTTCTTGCATTTTCCATTAATATGGAGCTCTTCGAACATTCAGGGATAAAGCGTGGTAAGTTCAAAGTTTTATACTAGCGCCGCCACACCCGCGATATTGATGACATTTCACATTGTGTCACATCATACTGACGTTGAGGGGTGCGGTTGAATTTCAATGTTCATACCTCACTCACTACATAATTTTACATTAATTATGACATGTATCTTTTTAAAACAAATTGTATTATACTGTCCCTATTATACAATAATATTGCAAATTATAAGCTATATACTGTACAGTGTATGCGCAGTAAGAGGAAATTAATGCCATTGGAGATGTCGATGTAATTGGAAGCGTAGTACGATACAATTTCGTACTTTATAGCCCTCTCAAGGTGAAAATTTAAAATACTTTTTAGTGCCCTATACTACATATGGGTACTCACGGGCTCTGTTTTGGTCACAGGTACAAGGTCCAATTTAGTACACGCGCCACCGTCCCAAAGAGATCTAGAGATATTCTAAGGTACCACCATTTCTGCTCCAAGTAGCGGGATTTTCCAATTAGTTCCCTCACTTTAAAATTTGTTGGATAAATATTTTCTCCAAACCCGAAACTCGAGAAGGAAATTATAAATCTCCAATTCAATACGGTCTAAGTCATAAAGTCCCAGTTCTGTTTTTGCTCAAGTTTTTGTTTCAACACGTGTGAGGTCTCCTTTGTCCATTGTGTCGAAAGCTGAGGGGCTGAGTCCCTTGACAGAGGAGACGTGATGTCACGCGTTTTTCTTATCACCACTTTCCCTGGTCTACGGCTCTTCCCTTCCCTTGATCAAGTTGCGTGCGCAATGTTTCAACTAGTGGGGGGTGTAGGACCCAACCTTTGGAAAGTTAGTTAAGTTTAAGTGAGTTCGATTTTAACTTGTTACTGTGACACTTCTCTCTTCAAATTAATTATTCTCCAAGTTACACAGTTTAGTTTTGTTTTAGTTTTCTTAAAGTCTGTTAGTATTCCAAGGTTCAACTTAAGTTTGGAAGTTATTAAATAAAGTGTGTTACGTGCTCTCCTAAGCACTGATGTTTTGGATTTATTTTATTTATATACCTGAATCCGACTTTTTGAAATTAAACAAGTCGACATCGATGGAGTCCCCATTTGAGGTTTAGCGGCTAACGTATTCCACGTTTAAGAACTTGGCGCAATTATTTGTAAATGGCGCCACTGTCCTACTAGTAACTTCGCTAGGATATAACAGCAGTAACATTTCTTCATCGGCCGAGCAAAACTTCGTTATCGGCCAAATAAAAATTTATAGTCGTCGCAACAGTTACCATTGTTAAATTTAACTTCGGCAAGAATCGGAAACATTCGACGTTCATCGCTAACCAATCATATTGGGTTAAAAAATGTGGAAATTTGGAAAAAATGCGGTGTAGCACAGTAAAAATTAAAAGAGAGCATAATAAAAAATACCGATCTGGATAGGAATTTTTGAAGGATTTCTATCAATTTTTCTTTCAAACTCAAACAAAAAATAATAGACTTTCAAATTCCATAGTGCTGTTTAGTAAATTTTACGGAGCCACACATGATTAATTACGGAATGTATAAGAAAATTTGACATATTGATAGTAAAGCGTTGATCGTACCAGAGCTTGACCCTCATTGTAATTTTATACAAATTGTAATTCTGTAATTTTAGACAAATCAAAGCTATCTTTTTCCTTTCCAAGTTTTATTTCAATTAACAATTAATTTGATAATTTTGGGACACAAAGTTGAACGCGCATCATACTGTAATCCTCACCCCACCCCATGTGATACGCTAAATAAGCGTTCTTAAGGTTGTTGTCGCGTAGAATTTTTTTTCGACAGTTTTCGTTAACAATTTTATGGTGAATAGTTTGAAAAATTAGCAACAAAATGAGCCTTTTCCGTTAGCAATTGACCGTTTTGAACTTGAGATATAAATTTTTGAAATGCGAGTGATTTAACACGTGTTTAAATGGAGTTTTGGCTCGACAGTTTCAGAAATAAAAAAAAACGTGGAATATACATCGTGCGAGGAAATACAGAAAAAAAATCAAATCGATTGACCGTTTGGTTTACGGAATATAATTATCGGAAATTCATAAATTTATATAATTGAAAATAGTTAATATGGAAAATATATAGTTATGCTTTAGCTATCCATGCACAATGCAATCAATCAAGTGAGACTCCATACCGCTAAAAGATTGTGTTCTAAACTGGCCCGTTTTACAGCGGATAAACTTTTTACAGAGACTGTCGCGCGACAACCACCTTAACCCTAAACGCTCCGCGTTTATAGCATAACGGAAGCGAAAATATAAATTTTCATGCTGGGATAAAACGCGCAGAATTCCTCTCCAGATACAGAATTCTTCCCCGCAGTCGATATCTATACTACTACTAGCATATACATTATTTATACTTCCCTCGTATTGTTGATTGCGACAATTTCAACTGAAAATACTTATTTCATTGGGAAGTGTGTATAAGGTTTTTTTTTTTCATTAAAAATTTTACGGAATCGGTATTCAAAAAAATTAGGAAAAAATTTTACAAGTTATGAAACTGCTAGACCGATTAAAGTACAGAGTGCAAAATTTTCCATTTTTAAAAATAGTATATGCCACGCGGGAGTTTGAGATAATATTGAACAAAGGGTAATAAATTCTCTTCTGAGATAACATGAAAATAGTATTATGACATATAATTGATAAAAGATAAATGAAAAACAAGGAAAAGCTTATTTTTGCAAGCCTGCAAAAAGCCCAATCGTAAAGAATGTTAAATTTAATTTAAATCAAGAAAATCGATTCATTGCAAAAAAATGTAAATTTAACAGAACAAAATGATAGCGAAAGTAGGCCTGGAAAATGGAACACTTGTTTTATTGAGAACGTTCATTTAGAGGGCGTAATATACTTGCTAGAAGAAAATTGTCTTAAAAAAATATATTTGCCTCGTTTTAAAAGGCATTCATTAAAGACTGATGAGCCACACTGGAGCAAGGAGCAAAGGAGCAAGGAATCTCTTACAATTTACCGCTGTGTCACCATAATCGAAATACTTCAAATGAACTATTATTGTTTTTTTCATCCACATATTCATTTTTAATTTCTATTTTCTCATCTTGAATAATGAATACACCTTCCGTCAATGAATTACACTCACAATATAACAATTAAATTTCTTTTTTTATGTAATATTGCATGCGTGAACACATTCTGAAGATGACAAAAAACATTATTTGCATATTTGTTTGCAGCATACAATTTTCTATCGCAGCAACAGTGCATTGAATGAAAAGTTCAGTTTTCTGTGCACGTGTCCGTTATTTGAACTTTTTGCAAATTTTTAAATGTACATATCAATCTGGCCGGATATCAACTTGACATAATCTGTTGTGTTTTTCATTCTTCCAGTCTTCCATTCTTTTCAATTATAAGATGCAAAAATATAAAAAGAATAATAAATGGCAATTGTTTGCATTAATTACACATGTATATAGGTGTTCCACTCTGTCACGACTAATGTTTATTTTGACAGATGACAGATTATCATTTGGTACAGTGCTTAATAACAATCGAATAGAATAGTTTTTGAAATGTTGCTAAATATGAAATTAGTGTGGAAATAAGTAGTTGCGTGTAAAACCGATAAGAAATTGAATGTTCTTTTTAAAATGTCGTGACAGATCATCAGTTTAATTAATTTTTATTGAAATTAGGAAAAGGAGATATTCTTGTCTATTTTCGTTCACAATAGAAAAAAGTGTGTTACATTCAATGTATGTTAGGCGCAATCGATATACAAGGATACTTACTACATTAATTTTTTCATGATAATAATTTGTTAAACACCAAATTGTAGATGATCACTAAAACGTAATCAACCCAGATTCTGAATCATATAGAGATGATCAGCACACAAATAGGGCAAAAGTGTTTGACAATGAATTTCTATTTACCTGAAAAATCGCTTTCAGAAACATTGACAAATTAACATCTTTGTAACAAAAAAAAAAATAAAAATAAATAAAATGTCTGTTGACACTTGTTTTTTAGCGATTCATCGCAGTTAATAATTGGTTAAAAGGCATAAGAACCTTTAGAACACTTTATATCACCATATGTTAAATGTTAGAAATCCTAGATATTCAATATTACGAATGCACTGCATGTTCCACCTTGTAATCCGCCAAACTCACCCCTCCTGTTGACATGGAACAGAATTATCATGTAATATCTCGCAATTTTAAGATTTTGGGCTATCGAAGCTGAAAATTATCCTTAACGTTGATTTCTGCCACAATATTGGATGGGTATTCATTAAATAGAGTAATTTAAAAAATGATCATTAATATTATCTGCCGTTTTGCTAACTTATATTGATTTTGGAATTTCCCTCACCTCTTTCTTTTTTTAAAAGAATTTTATCAGAGTTGAATATCCTCATATAAAAATAACATGAAAAACACAGACAATATTCCTTGTACATCAAATGAGTTAGAGCTATATTTACACCGTTCTCGGTTTTACCTACTAATTAAGATTGACCAATTTTTCAAAATGAAAAATAATTTAGAATTGGTAAGAAAAAAGTTTGACGCCCTAGCGAAACCTCATGTGTCTGATTGGTCTATCCAACTGAATTATCGGAATCAACGGGGATTTTGCTCCCTTGAATTGAATTGGGTTGGATTTTGACAGTGCAGATTCCAGTAGCATTCCATCGAACCTATCACGTACACCGTAGGTATGTAATGTAATAGCATTTGCCAATTTTGCCCAACCTTACATCATTGTCTTCCCATGTTGACTCATTACATGGTGCAGTATATTGCTAATAATTATTTATTTATTATACTTTGAATTGCAATCATTACACCAAATATTGAACTATCTACCCTAATATGTACAATTTTTCATTGCCTTGGCACTCTATAATCTCTCACCCTTTCTACTTCATCATTTCTTTTCAGTATCAATTTGTACAAATACACGGGTTTTTACAAAAAAAAACCTAAAAATCAAAATAAAAATACTCAAATGATGCGTTGCTTTGATAATTATCAATCTTCTCATCCTTACAACTTTATAAATATTTATATTTTTTTATTTTTTCTATGCATTAATTTGAAATTTATCGCGTTCCCTTTTCAACTCCTATTTCAACTTATCATAGATGTTTAATGAAAATATAATGGTAAAGACGCTTAAATTGCAATATTGCCAATAAATAATTTACTAAGTCTTTTTTTTTCCTGTACAGTAAATTTTCGCAAAGATCCATCTCAATTGTTCTTTATGACAATTCGACAAAACAACAACAAAAAAAAGCTTTTATCTTGATAAAAAGTCGAGTCGAATCAGTTCATTTAGTATTCACAATTGTGACTTTCATGTGCTTGCGTAAGGATCGTATTGTGTCTTATGTTTGAAGCAAAGTCAGTCTTGAGGATCTCAGTCTCCTCCATTGCCATGCCGAGTAATTAACTCCGAGCTTTGAATTATTCCTAACATTAGTTTTAGGCACAATTGAACATAAATACTGAAGCGAAGTGATAAAAAATACAAATACGCCTGGAAAATATCAATAAATAATTTAATTAGATGTGACAGCTTTCCTATTCTTAAAGACGTATCTTGTCAACATCACTAAATTATGGAGGAATTTAAAAATAAATGTAATTACCAACTTATCAGCTATCTAAACTTGTCTTGTTTTCTTTTTATCACTTCGCTACGGAAAAGTGGAATAAAGTCAACGCAGTAATGACGAATATTATGAGCCTAAGGAAGTAGGCGGCGCAGGCACGATGATATGCCTCTATAATCCTCGTATGTTCCATATTGTCTCATTAGTACAATACAATGAGAGTTTAAATAATGTAATATATTGTCAAGGAAGATGAAAACAAGGCTGAAGAAGACATTATCAGACGTGCTCCTGATGTTGGTGATGGCCACTTGTTTCGTCTGCTTCGCAGGGTACTATCGTTAGGCTGGAGAGATTATTAAGATTACCGCTGGAATCTGAGTAACTAGACAATGTTGGTCGTCTCGTTGGCGGTACTACACCGGTGGGAGTTGAACCACTACTGTTACTTGTTGTTGGAAACCTTCGAAATACCCTCAAAAGGGAACTGCCAGCACTATGACAACGTACTATTCTGTCAGGTGCATCTAAAAGCCCGGATTGACTTCTATAGGGCGGTGGACTCTCACTATCAAATATCGTTCTATTCGGTGGAGGTCGAACACATTTTTGATAAATTTCACTTTCCTAAAAACAAAAATTTCATGAAAACTAACTTTCAAAATACACATAATACATAGCGGTTTACAACAAGTATTTTCCATTTGTTCCAAGGCATATCACAATACAGTGTAATTCAATCAAAAATCACTCATCACAATCTAAAAATATCAATAATAAAATAACAAAATTGTCATTTTTCTAATGACTAATATGTTCGATTTATGTGTAAGTGGCATTTTCCGCATGTTCTCTCCAATCGGGAGATGGTCATAGCCTAAAAAGTGTCACCGAGTCCAGCTTTCATTTTTAGTTAAGGAACTTCCGCCCAAATTTTTTGAGAATCTATAGTGGTAAATGTGATAAATATCAAAGATTCAGACACTCCGTAGGTACAATCCAAACTTATTTTTATTGCGCACTAATATTTTAATGAATTTTTTAATAAATCCAGAATTTTACGAGAGATTTGTCACGATTATTCAAAACTGTACTCCTCATATGGGCACTATTCTAAAGAGATTAAGTTGTTAGTGTGTTGCAATTATTTGGAAGAAATAAGAATAGAAAATTAAGGGAGTTCCTCTAGAATGAGGTATAAAGAGAACTCTAATGAATTAATCAAATCTGAAAAAATAATGGCCACAAATTTTTGTCAAAAATTTGCCAAAAAAATGGGTCGTATAGTGGTTTGTTCTGAAACTTTTTGAAAAATAAAAAAACAAATAAAAATGAAAACGAGCGCCAAATAGAATTTCTATATAATGAAAAAAAAATAATGAAGGAAAATCAAGGCCTGGCTACTGAAAGCAGTGCAACCCTTAATTCATTCAGCTGTCGATGAAAAAATATTAATCGATTCGTATAAACGCCCTTAAACAACATATCCATATGTTTAAGAATTGTTCAAACAGGCAGACATCTAAATAAATTAGAAACTATCGACTTGTACGAGCTCAATACCATGAATATCAACTGCATCAATTCAACTCATCCACTTGCAGAGAAAAAAAATAGAAAATTTAGCTACAGTCCCAGTATAAATAATTATAATGTAAAACAAGTGAGGAATTTCTCTTATATCGCATATCATATAGCATATCATATAGTAGTAGCTTTAATAAATTACCAACATGCCTCCGAATTGTTATTTTTCGTATTACCTTTCCCTTTTGTAAATAAGCTTTCATTGGTATTTCATTAAATTGAATGATTCGGTAACAGTATACTTTTATAACCGACTATTCAAGTTGATGGTGTTCAAATGAAATTTATCAGCCACTATTGTATTTATCTCCTGACTGGTGTGCGCAAAAATTGTCGAGATTTCACAGGAAAACAAATGGAATTTTACAGAAAGTAAAAAAGACTATTATTGCTATCACCTCCATCTTCGAACTCGGTCAAGAGGGCATCAGGAAAAATTTCTTACGCCATCATTTAATTCATTCCGATCATTTTTTTTGACCGTAACTGATTGAAAAGTCAAGAAAAAAAAACCTTTATAGTTATAATAGAGATGAATTGAGATTAGATGACAGTTCCTTGCATCTGTTAATTGGAATAAATTGTCAAAAAAATGCAATTCATGTTGTTTGCTTATGGTGAATTTGCTAATATTTTGTTGACTGCTTTTTTGGAGTCGGTGGGAAAGATAGGAAGTGTCTCCGAACCCCGCCGGGGACTTCACCGTCTGTTTCCCCTCCCAGGCCGCCCTCCACGTCAATTGCATCGATATTTATGACAAAAAATAGCATGTCCCACGCGACCTGGCAGCATCGATTTGAGATTGGTGCGAGTCAAGGGTATGATGCGTGGTGAACAAGAGACGCGACTTGCGGCAGGTAACGCCAAATGAATCATGCTTCAAACTGCACACTTTTGACAAACCTCCGCTCACGAGCCTTGTGGCCAAGTTAACGATTAGTACGATGGAATTTGAGGCCATATTATATACGTTGCTGTTTGTCACAAGGCTTGACCAGCCAAGCCATGTTCGGAGCAGACCTAGGCGTGTAAATAACACTTGCCAAGCTTAAGCCTGAAAAGAATGAGGTTAGGCCAGGCCAATTGACAAAAATTAGTATTCCAGTAGATGGCCAAAAAAGTATAAAGTGAGTATCTGACGAATATGATTATAATCCTCGTCAGATAATACTTTTCACATCATGTACTGAAATTGTAATTTATGTCACAAAATACGTAAACGCAGGTTTGTGATGAATGTGAAGTTTGTAGCATGATGCGTGATGAGGAGAGGACAAGGTTTGCCCGTGACAAACCGAGGATTCAACATACCTCGCCGAATTCAGCAAACTCATACGAATCTACGGGTCATGTGACATATTCTATTTTTTGTCATAAATGCCTGTACAATGGACGAGGAGGGGTGGAGGGAGAGAGGATGCAGGGAGCAAAGCTCCCAGCAGTGGCCTACGGTGGCAGAACCCCCCAATAAAAAAAAAACAATCAACAAAATGATAAAAAAGTTACTATAAGCCAAGGAACTCCAATTGCATACTGCTGATAATGTATTCCAATGCACAGAGAGCATGAAAGGAACTATTGTGCAATGTTCACTCGACAAAAAAAAACTTTAAAAATTAGCGAGCGAAGCGTAGTTATAGAATCGCGTTATTACGGGCGCAATAATATAAAATAATATACGAAACCCGTGAATTATAGGTTTTTTGGCTCGTCGGAGGGTTGCAACATGAGCCCAAGACGAGTTTTACAATCCCACGAGTCACTTACACTTGTTGCTTAATTATAAATGTTTTGGCTTCCGAATGGAAGCATTGCAATCGTTGGATTTTAAGTGCGCCATTTTTAAGATTTCGTTCGCTAGCTTTGGGCTTGAGAGTCTTCATATAACTCTGTAATCCTTATATATAACGGAATGCATGCTAAATCAAAATGGCGTCTGCGAGAGTATCGAATTGAAGAAAGTAGAACTCGAAAATAATCGAAAATAATTGGAACAGTCACCGCATAGTGGCGCTATAAAAAGGCATTAACGTCCAGGCGGCGCTAGTTAGACTATATAATTGTGTCGAAATTTTGGATATCTTGGGTGAATTTTAGATATCTTGCACCCAATGTTCTGGTAGGAAATCGGAATATGATTCTTTTCGGTAAACGTCCGTGTGTATGCGTGTATGTATGTTTATCGATGATTACTCAAAAAATTAATGGTCAGTTACATTCAAGTCAGGTTCGATTGAGTTTTGCCTTGAGTGGCCTCGAAGAACGGGACAATTCCGTTGTTCATTCTCTGGAAATTCGAATGTTTAGGTCAATCCAATGTCACGTCAAGGTCGTGTGAAGATCACACAAAGATGATGCCAAGGTCATGTTAAGATCATGTTCAAGAAATTATCTTCCATTAGCCGTCGAAAAATTATATAGTTATATTATAGATAGTTGATTAATAGCCGTTTTAAAAACGCCTAATGATAAACCTTATCCAGATGTAGCTAAAAGTGTCAGTGTTTCTCGCCACATAGGTCTGTTTATGAAAATTATTTTGCATTCTCAAAAAATTTTTCGACGATCACTTAGAAAATAATTGGTCAATTTTATTCAACGATGTCTTAATAGATTCGGTTCAGTATTCTCTTGACTGAGTCTGAAGATGGCGATAATTAGGGTATTCGTTTTCTGAAAATTCGCTGTAGCGTTGATGTCAGCCTGACCCAAGGTTGGCTCAATGCTGACTGAAGATATGCAAGAATGAGATTAATTCACAAATTCATTTAAATATTCCAAAAACGAAAATGTTTTACTAAACAATAAGTAATTTATGTCATAAAGCCTGAACAATACTTTTTCTCACAGGGCTCGACCTATCCTCGTTCTTTTCAGTGGGGTCTAGACTCTAGACCCACTCAGAATTTGATTAGTTGGGCGTCGTTACAAAAAACAATGTATGCCGAATTCAATCATATTGAATGTGGTGAATGAAATAACTGGATTCGTTAAAAAAATACTTTTACAATGCTTCTGACATTAATTACTATTTATGACGGACCTACAAAGCTATAAGGGTAGGCCAAGCCGAGTGATGAAACCGTGCATTTCGACACTAGGCGGTGAAGAACTTCTCTGGCAAATATAAGGTTACAGGACAAGCTGAAGGCGAATTGCTTCACACATGCTAGTAATTATATGTAACAAGTATGTAACATATTGCATTTCTTGACGTAAATACATTTTATGTGCACAGTGAGAAATATCAACAAAAAATTACGGAATAGGTTACGTAATCTGCCAGCGAGGTTCGTTTTCAGTTAATTTCTATGGGAATGAACAAGAATAAATGTAAAATATTCTGTGAATTCTCGGGTCTGTAACTGAAAAAGTACGGGACAGGCACGTAATTTTTCTCTGAAGTGAAGACAAGATGAAAAATTTACCACAAATGTCATGACTTAATACGTCTCGAATGGTAAAAATTTTGCCAAAAGTTCATAGTTTTTACGGAGTTAACGGTAAATGTTTACGAAACATTCAGTAAATCTCCACTGATGGGATGTGTCATGCCGCTTTTTATCCCCACTAGTGGTTAATCATATATTCTCGGATCATTTCGGTAAACTCGGAACAGGGAGATGGTGACCGAAGCCATTTGGAGGGAAATTGTGATAATTGTGCTACGAAACATCAATTGAAAATAGTGTAAGACAAACAACACAGGCCGGACAGGTTCCAGGTTCGATTTCTGGCCGGCTAGAATGGTGAGATATAACCAATTAAAGTCTTGATTATTATCGCCATATACGCCTAACAGAGTCGAAGCAACGTAAAAATAACCATACAAAAGAAACAATACAGAATCAGGGATAATTTAGTGTAAGCATAATTTTAATACTTGGTCATTCCTTAAGTAATCAAATTCATCTCAGACCTGACTGGCCATGCTCTGCCAAATAGTTCTCATGCTTGCATTCTAACCTCAAACACTGACATGTTCCAAGCATGATGAACACGGGGGTGCAACTAAGCTGCAAAGGGTTATTTAGCAAGACCAGAGATCAGTCAACATGGAAGTCGATTCAGTTGAAAGTTGTAAGAGGCTAGCTCCTCTTCAAGAATTTATTAAATGTGTCTATTCCTTGGTTTGATTCTAGTCGTTCTTTGTATATGCAAATCGTTTTTTGTATGTTTTTGTTTCCGAATGGAAGCTTTGTTTTCATGAAAAATAACCGGAAAATAAAAACCAATGTTTCAGATTTTTCATCCATTGTTCAGTTTTCAATTAACAAAAAGAGGGTTCAGTAAAAATTCTGGATTGTTGCGAACAAATAACGTGCCTAGAGGTTAAAAATTCCCCCAGCCGTGAGTCAGCAGTCAAGTGTCGAATTTTTACGGAACAAATCGTAAAGTTTGAGTTGTGACTTAGAGTCTAAGTCTTAGACTTTCTATGAAATTCGACTTTGCTGGGAGGTTACGTTTTGAGACTTATTTTTTGCGGGGCTTTTCTCATAATATTTATGGAATATTTGTCTTTATATATATATCAGATATATGACGAATGAATGTGGATAATATATATGTGCTTTCATATATTCAGCATATATTTGATATATTGCTTTTTTGGCCGGAATATATGTGTGCATAATTAATATATACTTCGTATGTATACCGTTTTTCGTACGAGTACTATCATTAATTACTGTCATTAACTAAAAAATTCGTACTAGTACTGTCATTAACTATTGTCATTAACTTTATTAAATTACCGACTATTTCATGCATCACGTTGACATAACTATCCTTCAGGCTAGTTAGCGGCTCATTCCACGTCCCGCTCTTCCAGTTCATAGCCTGCTAAATTACAAAAAGAGGCCTCGGTCGCACTTTTCAGACTATGCCGAATGGAAATTCTACAAGTCTACTCGAAGTTCGATCAGAACTCGATTCAGTGTCGATCTGGTCCATCTGACCAGGTAAGATGTGATCAGAACCTGACCAAGTTTTGATCCAGCATTTCGGATCGCAAAAACTACAAGGGAGTCTAGATCGAGTTCTGATCAGGCTTGCCTGATCAGATGACGCCCGATGAAATCCTGACAAAATTGTGATCCAGTAGATCGGATTCCAAGAATTACAGGCGAGCACACATCTATTTCTACTCAGATAAATTTGATCTCACCCTAAAGCCAGGCTGCCTCAATTTAATTTGATTCATTTGAATGGCTCGATGAAAAAGAGTTACAAAATTCGAAGCCGATTCACCTGATGTTCATTTGATCAAGCCTTTTCTGAGAATAGACTTTTTTTCATCAATTGTTAATCCATTGATCGAACATCTGTAGTTAAAGGGATAAGAAGTAAGGGGCATGACCAGAGATATATATCTATATATATATATACTGAAGTATCAAGCATAAGAGCGCATTATCTTGAGCGAAGGAAAATCATGCAGCTTACATTATGATTTTTGCAATTATTTTTTAATAATGAAATAAAATTTGAACCGAATACGTTTTCTCGCTTAGAATGTACGTACAAATCTTCTAGATCACAAATAATTTTACAGTCAACAAATGCCCCCTTACAGATCGCGTAAATGAAAAGAATTGACTCAACAACACTGGTGTATGCGGTAGCCTAGTGGTTAGGGCATAAGTTTAGTAATTGTAGGTTCTCCGGTTCGATCTCCAGAACTATCAAAAATACTAGCGTTTTTTTCTACGATAATTACAATCGGGACCCATTAAGAACGGTCATGGGTAATAAAAAAATCAATTATCGTTTGTTTTAAGTGAGTTATGGTTAATATTCATAATTATTTTCTATAGTCCAATCATCCGATTGAGATTTGGCTTGATCAAATCAAAAATTTGATCAGGTCTTCAGTTGAAATTGCATTAAATGTTTGATCAGAATGTGATCAAATTATCGTATAATTTCCGAATCAATCATCAACTCCAACTTAATCCAATCTTGATTTGAACCTGACCAAACGATAGCCTCGAATACCCATTTACCGATCGGCGAGAACACGCTAAATATGCCACTTAATAGGTATAAATGAAAAGAAAAAATCATACAGAATGTTATAATATGTACGCCGAAAGCTTACTTGAATCTCGCACATTTTATTGCTAGACTTTTGGCATATTTGCTTTTCTATACGATGTAAAAAAAAATTATGGAATTATGTCACCCGCAATCAATAGGTGAAATAATAACGTTAACATTTAATGTGTGCATATTCTCCACGGTAGAGAACGCAATTACAACTGAACATTAAACAAAATTAACTAATAATTAAATTTTTCATTCCTATGATTTGATTCTCATTTTCATTTGTTTTCTACTGTACCTATGCATTAATGCACGAGTCATGAGAGAATTAATTAGATAATATTCAACTACAGTTTATAATAAAGGTATATTACAATATTATAAACTCTTATGCTACAATAACAATTAATAAATTAAATAATTATTGTTACAATTGTTAAAATTATTACACTAAAAAATGGTGTTCACTACTATACCCCGCCTCGCTGAGATTTTAGTTTTATTTTAATTTAAACTAAATGTACTAGGTATTGATAGAATCAGCACTGACTCTCATATAATCTCATAATTATCTTATGCCCATATCCAGTAACAATAAAGCTTACTAGATTCAAGTATATACTTTGTTGCTTATAAGGATATAACGAAGATATAAATGGAAGTTGATGAAATACATTCTCCCAGCCTGCCCCTCTTAATCACTATTTCATTTCATTTACTTCCTTATTTTGAAAAGGAAGAAAGTTGATTACCTGAACGGGATCACGAAGATGTAGCCCAGTTTGTGTACCATAAGGCTGCTCTTCTCCATCAGGAAGTTGCAGTCTAGGTGGCAGATCAAGAGCCAGATCATGCCTAACACTGCCAGCTCGAATGGCCCGATCTCTCGCAACCGCCACCATGGCTTCTTGATGCATACTGTCAACACCAGGTGGTTTAACATTTAGCCCACCGCCAAGACCACCCCGATGACCTCCACTCCTGACCTCCATACCTGCACTCACAGTCAGCATCTACGAATATTCAAAATTCTCATTAACACCTTTCCACTAGGGGAAATTACCGTGGGCTAACACATTAATTAATTAAAGATTTTTTAAAATTAGGCGAGGTACAGAGAAGAAAAGCATGCAGCCTATCATATGAACAGTTTTTAATATATCAAAGAATTTATTAAACAACGATGTGCAAAATTTCAAATAGCCTGAGAGCAGAGTAACAACAGGAAAAATGTTAAAATTCTTGATCATACATAAAGTTATGGATGTTCTGTTCCCCTTTAGCCACAGTTTTTTGAGTTGCCTGACAAATTGTTGGTCGGATTGACGGGAAAAAATTTACAATTTTTGCATAACATTATTTAACAACTCCCGATATGTCATGATGATGCAATAATTTTTTCCCGGCTTTTCTGACACTATTAAAAAATATCTAAAACTCTATAAACAACACAAGAAAAATATTGCACGCTCATAAGACTGTGAGTCATAAAATTATGATAAAATGCAAAAATGGTCTATTTTCTCGAAACAGTCCGATCAAGAATTTGTCAGAAACCTAAAAAATAAAAAATAAATAAAAATTAGCTAAAAGACGGTAGAATGGCCTTCAATAGTAGATTGACAACTGTTACATTCTTTTTACTTTATCGACTACAGATGATAGAATTATTATATTTCCTAACAAGTGCGGAAAAGTGATTTTTGACGTGTGGGAGGTTTATAGCACGAGCCACAGGCGAGTGGTACAATGCCACCTGCCAAAAACAACTTTCTGCCCGACTTGCGAACAATATTTTTCTTCGCAATGTGGAAAGTCACTTTTTCGTTACTTCAAAGTGACTTTTTGGCCGATTGTGATGAAAAAAATTTTAAGATACCTCATGCATAAGTAGTAAGTATGGGATTTTTAAATATTCTTCCTCTGCTCTTGAGCTATCTGAAATTCTGGAGATGGTTGCTTAAAGAATTCATCAGTGTATTGACAAATGTTCATTATATTAAATGGATTTCGTTTCTTCCCTGTATCTTGCGTGACGATCCTTATCCTTATATTCTATGCTTCATTTTGATCTATACCCTTTTCAATGCGATATGTATAGTAGAGATAGAACCGAAATTCAGTTTCCAAAAAATATTATAGAATATTATATTAGTATATCAGTAATCAAGTATAATATCTTTAAAATGAATATATTGATATCCTTATTTCGAGTAGAACGTATATACTTAAATGGAATTTTTTTCCGTGCATCTATTGTAAGCGAATGGCTTCATGTAAGATACGGTAAATGCAAAAAAAAAATTACGCATTGATTATGTAAAGAGAGAAGTAAATCATTATAATGTATAATAAGTAGGAACAAACGGCATATGGTAGTTTGGACATCGACTTGACAGTCTTATTCACTCAGTAGACAAAGAAATGATATCTATGCACGCTTGATCCCGAGGTGAATAATGATAAGAAACTGTGAGATTAACGTGTCTGTGTTGATGCATATTATGTAAGGATCTATACGTTCCACTAATTATTGTCCAAATAAGAAAAATTAGATAGATATAAGAAAAAAAAGAAATGGAAAACTAATGTTTGCAACTAGTGAAATGTCCCCCATCAAGTGGGAATGCACAGATGGGTGACTCAAATTAATATGATGTCACTCAACATATTTGGGTACAGAGTAACTTCATAACATCTATGTCTCTTCTAATGGAGGATTTGTAATAGTAACAATCTTATCATGTCTTGTTGGAACACCTTTTTACGATGTAGTTCTACGTAACTTTGGACGTAAAAATGAATGGTTTCCGTTCTAGAAATCAGCATTTTTTCCAGAAACTCTTTCTAACTCTTTCCGTTTCCCTGAGATAAAGTTAACAAGAGCTAGATAATGGCGTCGAGAGTCTAGACAGTTAATTATACAAGCAACGTCCTTTAAACCGTCGCGCCTGTAGTTTGTCTGAACGGTTTAGATAACTCATACATGCATATAGATAGTTTTTTTCAATCGTTTTTACACTAATACGTAATCAAAAGTAACGCGGATAGTATGTAACCGTAAAACTGACGGTATCGTATGTGGCTTCCATTGCGCATGTTCGGGAGAGAAGAAAATGAACAAATATTATAATTTTTATATTACTTATATTAATATTCATCTAATACTTATATACTTTTGTTAAGTTAATGTATAGACATATTTGCAGTTGAAATAATTTTTCTTATAGTTAGTTAATTTACTCGAGTGAAGCAACTTGTTTTTCTGAGTGTAAAAATAACGATAAAAATGATTAATTCATGCGATGTGCAGCGTCAGCCACGATTGAGACGAGAGACACGACACGTTTATAAGTTATTTCTGACGCTCACTTTCCAATCGATTGACGTCGAAAAGGGTGATGACGTGCAGTAATTGTTATATACTTCTCTATTCTACTATTAAATTGATTAGTCTATATTACTGAAGGTAGACAAGGTAGAAAAATCTCGATGAATAATGAGTGATTATGAAATCTTAATCATCGATTGTAGAAATATCGTTTGATTAATTCAGTAGATTATTTCCCCCGTCGGAATTTCAATCAATAGAGATTACATATTTGACCAAAGGGGAGACGGCAGCTATTATATCGGATATTTTTTGTATATTTTTTTTTTCCCCAGATACTTGTTAAGTAATAATGTTTTTTCATAAACGATTCAGAAGTTTTGATGAAACTTGACAACTTCACACTTCAATAACGTGTAATAACCAAATGGGAAAAAATATATCGTTATTATCTTTGACAGCCCATTAAGTTATTCCCACATTGGTCAAATTGCGTCGGTTTTACTAGTGAAAATTTGGACGGAGAAATAATCAGTTATAATAACACGAGTGCTTGAAAATTATGGAATATTTAGCGCAAGTGATGTTGCTTAGCAACATACGTATATGCAGTCTGGTCGTATGAAAATCCTGCTGAGCAGTGGCGCGAGGAAGCTTCCAGGAGAAACTTGGTGTTAGTGATATTGTTAAATTTTACTATTTTTGTGAGAAATATTGCAGAATATGATAAATAATTGGCCGCCTCATCTAATTCCGGCCAGGTAACGCTTTGAGATCCTCAGCCAAATCACCTGATCTTAAAAGGATACAATGTCCGCCATTAGAAACTGACGAGATTCAAATCAATTCTAAAAATATTACACTGATTAGTATCTCAGCAGATATTAATAATGGCAATAATAATTGATGAACAAAAAAATTCTATAGATTATTGATAAATAGCTTAGCAGCTATATTGTATACATCCAGAAATACTGGATCGCAGCGGATCACATTAGTTATTTAATTATCTTTCTAAAGATGAAACAATATTGGTGAGGAGCCCATTTTACCCCACCTTCGCCTAATTGGACTAGTAAAATTTGAGGATACTTGACTACACTAAACTTAGTCTGATTAGCATTGTTACTCTGTATTTCGATGATTCGAAGTAACTTGCTCAGTAAATGATCAGTTGGAAGTAGCATCTGAAGTGGCTTATGAGTTCCTGAGGAGAGGTATGGGACGATGACAAGATTGAAGAGAATTTCAAAAGCTCCATTAATTATTTGCTAAGGAAAAATTGAGCCCATCCTCCTAGCAATCCTTCAATTATTCAGCCCTAAATGCCTAAAGTAGATATCAATTTTCGACCATCCATCTACGGTTGAACGGATAGTGATTGGCTGAGATTTCAAAAAAGCTGAACCTATAACAAATGACTTTCCACTAGCTGATCCAGTTACTTATTCACCATTCGGGAGTACGATTAAGGTGAGTTTGAACAGAAAGTAACCGGATCACACTGCAACAGGATTTAACTTATCGAGCAATACCTTTTCAGTTCCTGCTCGAGGATTCATCCACTAGTGAGTCATACAATTAAGGTCACTTTTGACGGATAGTAGCTAAATCGGATTTCGCAACGGCAACACCTATTAATGAGTCCCTATTCAATACTTGATCGGTTTCTTACCCTTTATTCACCAATAGGGCAATCCTTACGGGCTCAGGATCCTAAACTGATATTAAATCAGTGTTACCTTACTAAATATCGAACCACGTGTTTTCTTTGGTAGCCAGAAGAAATAGAGTAGAAAACAAATCCCACACATCCAAAACGCATTAAAACTCACCCAAAATAATAAATCCTAGGAAAATTAACATGTGTCTGTTTTTTCAGTGGTCTATTTTTTCAGGGATTCATTTTCTTCGTTATGATTCCTTGGATTGGTAGGCATTATCAGAGCTATTGCAGCATCATGGGTCAATGCTCGATTTTGGCCTAACTGTCAAGCAGTTCATGTCACGGCTGCTGCCATATGCTGGTGAACAAAATAGATTTTTGTAGCTATCATCATTCAATCACTACCTTTTTACTCTCACGGCCTGTATTGGCCACGCTCCTTCTCCATAGTAAAGGTAGAATCCTACACCATGTTATATACTACATTTAAGCTCACTGGTAAATTCTGCTAGTTATTTTACTGTTTGACTTTGCTTGTGCTTCATTTTAACTTTTTATTATTTGATTAATTTATCCATTTCTTTGTTTGACTACTATTTGATTCTTTGACATATCACGGTTAGAGAAACTTATTGTATATAAAGTTTCTTCTTACTTATTGGTCTTGTCAAATGATTATTTTGTTAATCATTGAGGTTCAGAGCTTATTATTGTATTATTGGGCTAGGTGTAAAAATAAGAATTATTGTTAATTGTCTGCTCAAACGATTTTGGATCGATTTATTAACTCATAACTGTTTACATCACTTTTTAACTCTACGCCCTATATATAAAGTGGTTTTGCATAAGTAATAAACCTTATCTAATTAGTGCATAATTGGAAAAATAATTTTATTTCATTACGGCCGATAAAATGCGTTTCTAACCTCCCTTCGCTCGGTTACAAACGCGTTTTCGGCCAGAATGACATAAAATTACATCACAGCCACGGCGAAAAAAAGTGGTTGACTCATATACTTTATAATCGCCTTCGACTCGGACTTTAAAGCCCTACTCGTCAGATTCACTTTTGCCGTCCTAGGTGTGAAAAATACAATTTCCAGACGCAGTCTGAAAAATAAGCTGCATGCTACGGAAATCGCGTTTTTAACCCCTTCCGTCTGAAAAATTTAGGTTTAATCCAATCCGTGGAGGTATGTGGAGAAGAATGCACTGTTTTCGAGGTTAGGCCTGAAAATAACTATATTACCGTGCGGACAATGTGGTCGTCATTAACTGACGAGTTGAGCATTTTCCAATATTACCGACTGGGCGATAAAGCAGCAAAAATGCGTAAATTACGAATGATCCGTCTAATCTTACCCGTGAATCGCAATTTCAGAGATCATATCCATTATTCACAAACTCTTAAGCCATAATGTAATGCTTAGCAAATTATTTCGGCATTATTCCCTATTTAGGACTCATTTCAAATGCGCTTGTTTTTGGAGATTTTCCCGAATACAAAGTTCATTCCTTCCAAATTCTATTTTTCTCATTTGAATGAGGATAATTTATCACGACATTCTTTTGGCATTTTCCTTAGTTGTAAAGAACGAAAATGCTCACAGCCCTTTATGAATTTGACTACTATAATACTCGAATATTTTCCAGAATATATCTGGTGACGAAAAAGAGTCAGGAAAGAGAAAAACAAAGCACTTCAGTGCCTGACTTGGATACTTCGTTAGTCTCCTGTAGATATCCATTCTGTAAATTTCTGTCTGTCGAGTCTTAAAGATTTAAAACTCAACAAACTTGGTTGCTTACTTTAACCCCAAAATCCGACACAGACGATATATTGTTGAAAATTACGAAAATATCTTGACTTTTGACTCTTCCTCCGACTCAATATCACCGTAAACTCCATCAATTCTATAATCTTTCGATAATTTCATATATAGAAATAGGTGAGAATGAATGAAAACAGTGAGGTGATCTATATTTCCAAGCAAAATCGGACTAATATATTAATGAACAGGTTAATAAATGTCACTGCCGTCAATAAACCCGACATTCTTTAAAAATGACATTGACCAAATATCGAAGAGACCAAAGAATAAATATGGAATGTGAGTTATTCGGGACTTTTGACACGGAATACAATAAACATTTAAATTCGAATATATTTGATCAATCTGCTAGCAGTTTTATGCAGGAATTTTTGAAGACTCGTAAATTCGATCAATATCTCTCAAGACTTTCCAGTAAATGTAAGATTTCCACAGATTTATCAATTTATTAACGATCAAATGTTCACCAATTAAATCTCTGAAACCTACAACAAATGAATAGACAAGCATTTTAATTGTTACCAAAAATATAAGTGCTTGAAAGACAAGCGGAGATACTGCAATATTAAAAGCTTTGTATTGATCGACGCTAGACAGAAAGTTGACCCAGACACAGAGTATCCTTCAGTGAAAGCTATGTGGATCATATTCTGGGCCAAGCGGAAAAACATGAAAAAATGTCATAAATCCTCCAGCGTACATTTTGTATTCATTTAGTATCTGTATATATCTGCATTTTTTGTTTTATTTGGCGTCTTGTCATTTAAAAAAATTTTCTATTGAAAAAGCAATGTAACATACCACGAGAGCCATATCGCAGGCACTCGCTGCCTGCAAGTGGAGAATCCTCGCGCCCAATTCGAATAATTTTCTTCTCAATTGCTTGATGGAGACGCCGAGCGTCTGCATGCAACGACGCCGGAGCTTCATTTGAACGGCGACGACGCCAGGATGATAAAACTAGATATTGAAATGTTATAAAATCCTCATGATAAACTCACAACACTTGAACAATAGCTTCATGCCAAAGTATTCCATATTGAATTATTATAAAGAAGGAGGTTAGAATGTGTCGTGAAATGGAAGGTCGCTCAATGACCTGTCTAGTATCAGCTGTCAAGCTGGTAGTAACATATTCATCATGAGTTCACTATATTTTCATGACGAAGAGTGCAAAACTGTATCCTAATTTTCCTTAGAAAACTGCTGGTTTTTATCAACTTTCTTCAACAACAAAATCATTATGGTTCCATCACTTGTATAATCCCAATATGTACAACATACTTCACCGCAAAATTAATCAATACATTCAATTTTTCCAAATTCACTGAATTTTTTTTCCAACTTATTTTATGGTCACACGGCACTGTGCTACCCTTACTTCATTCACTAATACGCCGTAACAAACAAATTTCACTACGCGTCTGACTCAATCTATGTTTGCTTCATTTTATGAGCGATTCCACAACGGTGAAACAACATCGATGATAATAATTGGAAGAAAAAAAATGTTTAAACTCTTTTAACATGGTATTATTGCACATTAGAATGGGCTATTATGCGGATATTTATGAATAAAATAGAAGTTTGATCACTCGTCAAGTCCAGCGGTAGACTGAATTCGTTCGGTGGCTGTGAGGATGCAGCACTGTCGTCACAGTTGTTCTACTCCCTTCTCTCCACGTTTCATGTTACTCCCCTTACTCCCCTTACTCCCCTCTGGCCGTCGCCATTTAAACAACCGTGGTATGTTGGATGGTTGGTCTCAACAGAACAAGGAGAAACGTATATCAGTCGACCAGGCTACCCCTTCTTTATTACTCCTGTCTTTTAGCCCCTCCAACCTCTCGAACGACCCCGCCACCCCCGCCGCTAGCAGCCGACAGATTCTCCCCCTATTCCCCCCCTTGGAGGGTTACACCGGCTGCGCCGGACCCGCCAGACGCTCAACTCATGTGTCTGTGTCTGTCTCTGAGCTTATCTGTATTATATGCACACTTCATTCTCTTCTTTTTTCTCTTTTTTCTCTTTTTTCTCTTTTTTCTCTCTTTCTTCTTTCCCCCTCCCGCCCTCTCTGCTACCTTGCTTGCAACTCGCTTGGTGTGCCCATCGCTTTTTAAGAGAAGCCACGATAACAGAGAGAGAAAGAGAGTGAGATAGCCAAAATATACAGTTGACGTCGAACTCGTCGTGCACGTGTGCGCACGAGTCAGCCGGTCGCTACAATTTGACGCGACATGACTTTAGTCTATGTATGGGAGACCCTTATTATATGAACGGCAGATTGTTATGATTCAATTGAGAGTGAGGTTGTGTAGAAGAATCATTACAAATTCGTCTTGATAGCATTTTGTTCGGGGTGATCGAAAGTCAAGATGCTTAACAAGTTCCATAATCCGTAAGATTTCAAAAAAAATTCTCGTCATGAGACACTAAAATATCTGCTTGGGCTAAAATGGAACGTAGCCCAAAGTTTTACATTTGATTTTTCTTTTGATTATTAGCCCGGCAATAATGGAATGAGTAAAGCATTCAAGCTTTCTTCTACAGCTATGTTACCTCATCGTTTATTATCCGTATAGGATATTCATATTTGGGAAGCGCTTCGCGTGCCTATCATCATCATGGAGGCACATGCAGAGAAAATGTATTTAATAAATAAAATCCATAAATATATATTTAATATACTCTTCATATACAATAAATTGCAAATAAAAATCACAATTAAATTATTTAGAAATAAATATGAATAACGTATGAAGAAACCATTAATTTTTAGTTTTAAATAATTGTTCGTTAAACATTTGGTTTTACTATTTTTTTTCTTCCGATTTATTTGAATTGAATAGAATGTGTTTATATAATTTTTCAGCTTACTCTACTTAAATAATTAAATAATGCGCATTTTTATTTCTCAATTTTATTTTATAACTTTTTCTAATTAATCTATTTAATTTGATTCTTTAATCTGATTTTTCTAACGTGGGTGCGATCCCGTCTGGGGCTGTTTGCGAACAATACAATGGCTATATATTATATATTCATGACATATCCTTATATATATATATATAGATAATTATTCTATGTATATGTAATGCATACAGATCAAATAAAAGTTTAGATCGGTGACAAAAAACGCAACCCCCCTTTTTTTAAATCGAAGGGACTAGAAGGGTATATATTATAATTGATTTAAAAAAATCAAGGTTTTCAATGTTCGTAACATTAATTACTAATTAATGATTGTTCGTTTTGAAAAAAAAACTCATTGGGTACAAAAAATGTATATTTTTCATTATTTCGAGTATTTCCAACGGAAAACATTTTCTATGAACGACATAACATTGGTATGAAATAAATAAATAAATCGGTTAATGCCAGATAGTATGAGTAGTGTCTCTTAGTAGGTCTTTTACCAGCCCTTCCCAGTACCTACACGGTACCCCAGCCTAATTTCTTACCCACACTTTCCTCTAGCTAACTTATAACTAACCTTCACAACCGTTTCTTTTCCGACGATGAGAAATTTTTCACCTTCGGGACTCGAACGCGCGCTAGTGGGACGCTTTACTCATAACACCAGCATGCTGACAACAAGCCCAAAGACATCCTGTTGGTATAATAGTATATTTCCGGACTATTGGGATAGGTTAGGTTTTTTACTTGTGTGGAGTTTCGCGAGTCGAACCGAAGGCGAGGCGGCCAACCACACGAGTAAAAAACCCCATCCCAACAGTTCGGATATTATTTTTTCGTAAACATTTTTTCAAGTCTTCGAGGCTGGGAAGTATATAGTACCAATTCCCAAGCGAGAAATCGTCAGAAGCAGTACGGAAATATAATGAGTGAAATTAAATGTCTAATCCACTTGAATTTGGAATAGTTGAATAGTTAAATCCATCGCATAATCACACATCATAATCTTACATAACCCTTTTATTAGTTGAAATCTGACATAATTATATAAGTAACCAATTATAAATGCAGTTTTGAAATCCGCAATATCCTGGAATTTTTAAGGTTTTTTCATCTACACACTACCGATTAATTGGCGTAAGGGTGTGCAAAAATGTGCGAAATCCGTGGCATAAAGATAAATGGATGAGACATTAAGTAAGGCATGTTCTAACAAAAGTGGCAGATTTAAAGAGGCGACTTTTTTTTGACACTACACTGTCTTTTCTGTTTTTCTTCAGTTTATACGTACTAGTCTTACTTATATCAAAGTTTCTACACATCTCAGAATCGTCGAAAATATTTATAAAAATTGATAAAAAGACTGAAAAACTATGAATGGTTGAAATTCCTTACATAGATTTATTTGTTAGGCCAGATATGAGACTATATAAGAGAAAAGAAATTAGAAGTACACGGAGAAAAAATTCCATTGAAAATTAGTAAGAACCTTCCCTAAAAATCAGTGTACTCCATCAATGAGAAATTGAAATGCTGCTGAATCATTTTTTCGGAAGGGTTACATGAGAAACTGGAGGAAACTCATGAAAAAGTAGTACATGCCTCTCAAAAATTAGGGTGCCACATACGAATTTTTGAGTGAGGCATACCATTTTGTCCAGTGTCTCCCTCTATTTCCTTGTACACCCCATGTTACGTCCCAGCGTTGGTGAAAAGGTACACTAAATTTTGAGAGAATTTTTTCTCAGTGTAGTGAGGTGCGAGTATTCGAAAAATCCAATAGTTCGAATTATTATGGTTTTCTATATTTTCCACATTTCCATTTGATGAGTTTACATTAAAAAAATAATTGAAAAATTAGGAGGAAACGCAGATAAGCCCTCTCCACGTGGTTAGCAGCCTCGCCAATTTTATCAGCGCTGTGCGGGAGGAAAGTTGCCCTTTTTGCGTACACCCTGTTGGATAGTCATGTTCTACTGCCTGAGGTGAACATGCTATTTTCTACTTGAGATAATAAGATTAAACCCGCCTTATTCGACGCAGGAAGCGCTTTAGTTAAGTTTGAGATAATAAAAAAAAACATAATTTTTAGCCCTATGAAAAAATGCGGATCTCTCAGAAACTGGGATCGACAAAGTGGGCCCTTTTCATGCGGACGACCGCACATGTCTATAGACATATATGTCTCAATTCTTAATACTAATTTCATAGTATTCAATTTTTCATAAATTGCATTATAAAAAGCGTTCAGATTTAATTCATCAACACTTGGAAATAGCTACACGTTCTACACAGAAAGAAATATTTGATAAAAGTTACCTCCACCGTTTGTAATCGAGTAGGGCTCGAATTTTTACTCTTTCTGATGAAACAATTTGTGAATGGCTACTACGCTGCACGATTACATAATGTCGGAATGAATTTTGTCAAATGTTTATTTTCGTGAAGGGCACCTGCAATCTTACTTTGTTATTCACAGCACGTTGATTATTGATCAACGCATTGACTGAAATCTATAATGCTGACTTGTTTTGGAGGATACATCACGAGAAGAATCTCATAAAACCTTTATAAGAGTGGTATTGTTTAATACTCTACTATAAAATAGTTCAATAAACAAATCTCAATTTTTTTGTGATTAGAGTTTATAATTATTGGGAAGTCTCACGACTAAAAAAAAATGATTTCACCCATCCAGATCCAAACCTCCTTATTGCACGTATTAACGCAGCCCATATATTCAGATACATCTGCAATTCTATTGCTTTAAGGATATTACGTCGGCATGACAATACTTACTCCGCAAAAAAGAAAAAGTAGGGAATTCAATGGAAATTCTTGAACACATTATTCCATTCATATGGAAGCTATGAGCAAAATTTCAAAACCCCTATGAGAATGATAACAAGGCGAATAATTCATCTAGTTGCTAATTGTACACACGGTGGAGTAGGGTATAGGTAATTTTTATGAATTTCCTACGTTATCGATCGGTTAACCAATTGCCAATGCCCTATTCAACCACGTGTATAATTACCAAGTTGAAAAAAGATTCGCATTGTTATTATTCATTGCATGTTTTAAGATGCTGCACACAACTTTCATACAAATCAAATAATATGTTGAACAATTTTCATTGAATTCTCTATTTCTTTTCTATTTATCGGTACATACAATGCCATCCGAACAGATAGTTTTACGTGATAATTAACATCTCCACTTGCAGCTGGTAGCTGGCATTGTCAAGTTACAAAGTTTACTCAGTAGCTTCTCAAATGCAATAAATCATCATGTCGGTTTTCAGAGATTTGTACCTCGGGTACAAAATTCACTCTTTTTAAGTTTTATTTTCTAATTTAAGTAAGGATAGTTTATAGCCACATTCTCCGCGATTTTCCTTGGTTGTAAAATCGTGAGAAATGTCCACAGTCCTTCCTTAGTTTTTATAATATTTGGATATTTCCAAAAATACATCTGCTGACCAGGAGGGGTCAGAAGAAAAAAAAGGAAAAGGAAATATTTCAGGGGTGGAAATTATATCGCCCTCTCCGGGGCAACTGAGTCTAACTTATAATACCTTTTTCACTCTCTTGTAGATATTCATTGTGTGAAGTGCCTTCTGTCTGTCAAGTCTTAGAGATATTCGAAATTAAAATTATTTCTGAAAGTTAACAAATGTGTTTGCTTATTTAATTCCGCAATCCAACAAATCAAATTTTGTTTTTTGCAATTAATGTGGAATATAATAATTTTTTCTGGAATGTTGGATGATCAAAATGGCTTGAAAG